ATCTGCTTTCCAAAGCAGGCTGAAGGCAACCGCAGAAACACACCAACGCTCAGTGAGTTTCTGATTCTAAACTTGGAGTGTCTAAACTGGACAGCCGGCTGGAAGCTTCCTGGGTGTGGCTGCGCTCTGGCAGGTGTATGAGAACCAAGCCCCTGGTGGCCCGCAGGCAGAGAGGGCCCTGGTGCTCGGTGTCGCCACATTGGAGCCACTTGGCGCGCTTGTCACAGTGCAGACTGCTGCCCTGCAGGCGCGAGAGGCTCAAGGCGAGAGGAGACCCGGGGTTCTCCCGGACACCCTCCAGGATGTCCTCTCTGTTCCCCGCTCTGAGGGGCCTCCGTGTCAAAGACGGCAGGCCTCTGCTCCAGCTGGACTCCGCAGTCTGGTACCTGGTTCGTAGCGCCCTTTTTGGTTGGAGTAAAACTGCCCCCAGGCAATTTTTTAGTTTTTTACAATCTTTACAGAAACAGACTGCCTCGTTTTCCTCCCTTAGAGTGGCTGGTGGGCTCAAACCACCGGCCTTTCTGTTAGCTGCCCAATGCTTTAACCCACTGCACCAAATAAAAACATACCATCCGGTGTGGTCCTTAGAGCAATAATAGCTGCCCCTTAGCAGCCCCTGGCCCTGGTCCAGCAGCCCCAGTACAAGGTGCCCACTCAACTCTCCTAATAGCCCCATAAGGTAGTTGCTGTCTCTCACTCCCATGTGAAAGATGAGGAGATGTACTGACTTGCAGCACTGAGGTTTGAACCCAGGACCACGTCGTTCCCACCACACGTAGTGGACCCCACGTTCAAGGCCACGCCCCTTGTTTGTGCAGACATGCCATTGAGGGTAAGGATGAGGGCAACCCGGACCCTCTCCCAGAGCCCGGGCCCACTGCTCGGGCAGTTTGCCAGGAAAAACTCGGTTCCTTTTTCTGTTGTCTGGCGGCCTGACCCAGGAGCTCCCTGAGTGAGGGGGAAACACAAGGGCTAAACATAGCCTGGGCGGTCCTTACTTTTCCTGTGCTAGACTCCCCAGAGTGGTAACAATAGCAGCAATCACAGATCTGTCTGCTGCTGGGTGGTGGTGGGGTGGTAGCACTCGGCCCCTGCCCTGCTTTGCGTTTTCGGGGTACCTCAGCCTCCCTCCAACCAGCAGCACCTGCACGCACCACTCTCGGCCCAGCCAGGGTGAGGAAGTCAGAACAGCACAGGCTGGGCCTGCCTGTCTAGGGAAGCGTCGCTAGTGCCACGCCCACCCCCCACTTGGTCTCCTTTGCAGCATCTACCGGCTCTGTGCCATCCGCCTCCCTGAAACCAGCTGTGAGCCAGGCCCTGGGCAGCAGAGGGTCTGGTGGACGAAGGCGCCGGCACGGGTGCGGATGAGTAATGGTCAGCCTCGTGTTTGCCACTGTGACGGAAGTTGGGGGATGGCACTTCCCCTGGGGGAAAGTGTCCGACATGGCCCTTGTGAGTGCCAGACCCTGGTGGTGGAACTAGGTTGCAGGCACAAGAAGTGCTTTCCTGCTAGAAAAGCAGGGCCATTTCAAAATCTAGCTGGCCGTCCTGCTGGCCGCTGGTGCCTAGGGCTCGGGTCCTTGTGGCTCCTTGTGTGTCACTAACTGTCTCCCAGACTGCCCTGGGAGCACACGTGTGGTGGTGGTGGTTACAAACAGAAGGGTGGGACTCGGGCCTGTGGAGGAGCCGGCTGGTGGGAAGTGGTGTTGTGACAAGCAGCCCGGTGGACACCTCAGATCAGGCAAGCTGGAGACAGCAGGGAGGACGCTAGTGTTCGAGGGGCTCACGGTGTGGAGAAGCTGTGATGTTGCGACAGACCAGCGCTGTTTGCATGTCACCTGTACACTACTTCCTGTTTCATCCAGTTACTCTCTGGAGGAGGATGTAGCGCATGTTTGTTTCAAAAAGCACATCCTGGGTCTGGGAGAAGGCAGGAGGATGAGCGAGGGCAGCCTCCGGAGGAGCAGCCACCGCTGCCGCACTGGCCTGGGCTGCCTGGATGCCCAGGGAATCTGACACATCCAGGGACCCCAGGCTGCTGTGGGTTGAGTTGTGCCCCCTGAAATGTGGGTGGCTAGGAGTGTGGGCGGCGTAAGGGTTACATGCAGGACTGGTAAGTGCAAGGTCAGCAGTTGGACACCCACAGCCCCTCCTCAGAGGAAGAGGGGTGAAGAGTAACTGTCTTGGAATTCCACAGGGGCGGGTGCACCCTGGCCTGCAGGGTCGCTGGGTTGGAATTGGCCAGTTAGCAGTGGGCTTGAGGCTAGTGGGTTTATGTAGCTAAAAGCCCTGCTGACTAAGCAGTGGCTGGACCCCACCAGCTGCTCCCCAGGAGAAAGATGGGGCGGTGTGCTTCCGTGAAGATGGCAGCCCTGGACCCGCTGTGGGGTGATTCGCTCTGCTTCGCCCCTCCGCTATGAGCGGGGACTGACCTGGGCACAGTGGGTCTGGCGTGGGCTGTACCTGTGGCTGTAATTCTGCCAGAAATGGGGTCTCCTTGACTTCCTTCATGAGCCCGTACCCAGAGCAGGGCGGATTCTAAACCTCAGCACTCCTGAGCGGTAGAACAGAGCAGACCAGATTCACGACAGACGCATGGGGAGCCAGACGCCACAGGACAGTCACCAGGGACCTCCGGAGTAACCTACAGGAGGGAGTCAACCTTTGGCCCTGGACCTCGGGGACAGCCATTTCTGCTCTTTTAAGGCCACACAGGTGTGGCACTGGTGTCTCAGCAGTACCAGGGATCGGAGACAGAGGCTGCCTGTGGAGAAGCACTGCTCCTTGGGCACACATTCTAAACAGCCATCTAGTCCTGGTCACCACTGAGGCCCAAGGACAGCCAAGAGGCGGAGCAGACCCCGTGTCGTGCATGTCTGGCTACTGCGTGGAGTCCCACAGAGCAAGACTGGTGCCCGAGGACCCTTCGGGACTGCTCGTCCGGTGGATGGCCACTCACGTGTCCTGTCTGACCAGAGAGGCCAAGGGCCGAGCATTATGCCGGGGGCACAGACTGCTGGGCAGCTGATGAGGGGAGGGGGGTAGGGGGGGGGCCCTTCAAGCCAGGCGGTGACATTTGTGTTCCCCCGAGGGGCAGTGGGCAGGCCTGCAGGGTCTGGGCAGGAAGCAGCAGGATCACAGGATGGCCAAGCTTGCCAGAGCCGGGGCCTTGGGCTCCCAGCATCCTTTCTCAAGCTTTTCCCAGTGGGTGGCAGGAAGGGGGCAGGGGAGGACTCCAGGGCTGTGAAATAAAAATGGCACTGAGAGCGCCGTCCTCTTGAGGATTGACCCCAGTGCCCCAGGCCTAATGGGGCACCGTCAGCCACACCCCAAGCTCTTGCCAGCAGCCCCTGTGGCGTCATCTTGGGGTGCTGGCTGCTCCCCGCCTGCCCCACTGGCTCCTTCCTTGGCCCCCACGTTCCTGGCCCTGCCCACGCCTCCCTGGCTGGTTCTGAAGAAGTTGGTGGCCAGTGGTCATTCTCCAGGGACTTCTCGAGAGACTCAAAAGAGCACAGCAAGGAGATGGGGACAACAGTCCTGGCCCTGGACACCAGTGGCT